TTATACTCGCATACATATACTATATAGTATAGTCTGTATAGAGAAAGGATTTCCGCTTCGCTGCTTGAAATATGAGCGGATTTTGACAGCGTTACACTCTGTGTGTGTGTGTGTGTGCGCTTTTCTATGCTCCCAGGTCAGCTAAAACGGCACAAAATTTATTATTCAATGGAAAATGTGTTATGTTTCTTGTAGACAGCGCTAGACAAGAATGATAATCTGCACGGCCTATCATAATGCGAGCGATGGTGATGATGATGATAATTATAATAAGCCCCCTAAGTCCCAGGCATCTATATATAGAGAGGCTTGTGTCAATGTGAGAGGCGTGTTTGGATTTCACAATTGTGCAATGTTGTCCGCTAATACGTTTTTATGTCTCTAGTGCATGTGATAAAAATAAGTAGCAGAACTTTTTGCACACCAGTGACTGCCCGCTCCCCCCTTCGAAGGCTATAAAAGTTTTGGATATCGACTTACGGCTCAAGCCCGTCGCGACATTGAATGTCTCGTTAAAGCCAAGTCAACCACTTGGTTCCCTTTGTGCAGACACATACATCAGCCAGTGGAACATTGTTTTGCACTTGGCTATGGGTTTCGGGCTTGAGGTTTTGGGCATTGGGCTTGACTCCTTCGCTTTGTCACATTTCCCAGTTTGCTCACGTATTAATTGCTCGAGTGGAAATGGCCGGCGACATACTCGTAAAAGTTATTGACCGAGACATGTTTTTGATGTTTCGCTCAACGTTGAGCAGAGACAGGCAAAGGAATATTGAAAATATTTACGAAACTCTGCCGTCGCAATAATATCCTTAATGGTTTTTTATTCTGGGATTGATTTATGAACATTTGTGCCACCTTTCTGATACGTGAAGGCAGCGAAATAGCCGTATTAGTCGTATTTGCCGTGGTCATAAAGATTCTAAAAATAACCAAATACAGTACTTCTTATTTGCAATTACAAAGGTTCGATTTAATGGTGATTAAAAAAGCATATAAATTAAAAAGGATATGTGAGGGAAAGTGGTTTATTTTAAAATGTATTTAAAAATACACCACCTATGTAGATGTAAACGCTTTATAGCATAGGAATAATAGGATAAGATTAATAGCACAAGTATCATAGGATGGGAATGATACTATAGAAATGATAGGATAGGATTAATAGGATACGTATGATGGGAATGATACGATCAAAATGATAGCCTAGTAATGATGGGATAGGATTGATACAATAAATACGATAGAAATGATATAATAGGAGTGATAGGATAGGATTAATACGATAGGTATAATAGGATGGAATTAATACGATAGAAATTATAGGATAGGATTTATATGATAAAAATCAAAGGATAAGATCTAGAGTAGGATAGGAATGATGGGATAGAAATCATAGGACAGGAATTGGCTTTCATGAGACAGACTTCAAAATTCACCGGAGATATTTTGTATTCCTTAATTTTAATTTCCTTAATTTTAATTCAGGGGGAATTTAACATGAGCATTAACTTCATGCCATCAAATTGCCATTAAGCGAATGTAAAACGAGTATAATAAACAAATTTTATACTTTCCGAGTTTATTAATGATAGCTATCGTGGGAACTATCCTCTTCCATGTATGTATTATTTATTACCGTGTAAATCATTTGCCAAGCTCGGCTAATTTTAATTGTAGACACTATTATTCATGCTCCTCTTTCCGCTATATTTTTCCTATACCCCAGACGTGCCAACCAAACTGACTTTATTCTTAGCATTTTTGCAATTTCCATCATCTTATAAAGCATGCGTTGCATATCAAATATACACCCATATGCACACATTTGTATTTAAATCCAAGTCACTTCATGAATGCCGATTTTTATGTGCATGGCCAATCCCAATCTCAATCAGACACACACACACACATACACACAAACACACATACTTAGAGGGCGAAGTTAGCCACTGAAATTCTTCACGGAAGTCGTAAATCCCGGCCAGACATGTTGACCGACAGTTTTGTCGAACGTCGCCGCATCCCTACTTCAAATGTCATAGTGCGAAGTAAATGTTTGTGCTAGCTATTTATATGGAAATATCAAAAGAGTCCAGATAGTATTTAACCCATTAATGCCGCACACACTCGCACATACTCGCACACATCACACGATGCATTGAAAGACAATCTGTTGCGGTTCAATAGCTCAGCGCTTTCATCTTGACCGACTCTATGCCATAAACATCAGCTAAGACCAGCTGCCGAGATGAATGCAGCACAAACAATTCATCATCAGCATGAGATGTGCATTTCTATGCCATCCGTGAAAGTTCTTCTATAACACATTTCAACGGTCTATTACATAGCACTTAAAGGCTTAAAACTCACACCCGCATCATATGTATACTATATAGTATATGAGAAAATGCCACACTTTTGGGCACGAATCTTCAACAAAATGTGGTACAGAATGTGTTACGGAAATGTGTTTGCATATTTAGCATTCAATCAATTCAAGTGCCCATCCGCTAACAAAGACAAATCCGCAACGGGCTCTACTCGTAGAAGAACCAAAAACCAAGCAGGCAGCCATAGCAAAGTGCCGTCTACAGATTTTAAACCCTTTACAAAAATAAAAAAGACTTTGTTTCGTCTGAGTATGTTTATGTAAGAGTAATACAAGACTTGTTTCTGACTATGTTCAACACATGTTGACAAAATGTAAACTCTGGAAAAGGGGCTGGCCGAGGCACAGACAGACACACATGTGGTGCAAAGGGCAGGCAGTTGCAGCAGTGGCAGAAACAGAGAGTGATGAGAGAGTTTGTACACTCAGACAAATAAAATGGTGTGATGTTGAACTTTTTTTAAGGGACTTTTGGATCTTGTTAAGTAAAAATTGAAGATTGAAGTAAAAACTATAAAATGCTTTATCATTTTTGTTTGGAATAATACCATAATACAAATAACGTTACGTATTGTATTTATAAATACAAACAATTTTAGCACTATATTTTGAGTAATAAAAATTGTTAATTCCAATTTTTTATTTTAAGAATTCCAATTTAATTCTGAAAAACAAACGTACTTCTTACGACTACGATCGAAATATGTTGTCAAGATAACCACAAAAACGGCTATAAATAAATATAAAGTTGTTTAGTTTTCTATGAATTATTTTTCTTACTACATATGTGTGAATGAAAAACAAAATATAATTTAAATGCACCAGCAGAAAAATATACATATACAAGTATGTATGAGTACATGCGGAAAAATATGGGGTCTCGTAAACTGGAAATAGGCCGATTAGACTATCACACTCCAGTTATTACACAGATTAAAGAAATTATATATTTACAGTTTATAGTAAATAAATTATGACTTAACGCCTTAATTTTTTAATACAATAATTATTCTGGCTATTTTTTGTGAGTGTATTGCCGGGACCGCACATGAGGTACATACATGTGAAATGCAATTGAAACCCAACGGAAGCGCGTTCATGGCTGTGTCTGTGTACTTAAGTATGTGTGTGTACACTTATAAATGTGTTTCCTATATGCTTGGCAGATTTGTCGCTTAGATTTTACTTGGCATTATGAGCTTTAACGTTTTCTCTCTTGTTGCCTATAAGCTGACAGCTTGGCAAAACGCATTATAATAATAATCATTAAATTTAATTTATGTTAATTTTTGTTTCTTTTTCCAACATGTCAATGACAAGAGCCGATCCGAGATCTCTCCCTCCACTTCCCTCCTCCCTTCCCTTCAGCTAAAGCACAAAAGCTTTACAATAACACGCGCTTTGCCACTTACAAAGCCCATTCATTCACTTAACAATATTTTGTGTTCTTCTGTACATACTATAGTTCATTATTATCAGTGGTTTGCTTGTCTCGTTAATCGTCGAGTTGAAGGCCAGCTGTGCGAGGGTGGGACAGAGAGACATAGAGAGAGGATGGGAGGTAGAAAGCGAGGGTCTAATAATGAGTATGCGGCGATGTAGTTACTGGTAATGTGGTTGACTCCGGGGGTGCGGGTGCTTTCAATTACAGCCAAATGTTTTGGTTTGGTGGTCACAAGAAAGCTTCTGCTTGTTAATTTTGCTTGGATGCATAACAATGAATCCGGGGGAAAGAGTAAAAGTATTTGTGCTTTATGTATTAGAAATGACTATAGAGCATGCACAACTCTGTTATACACATTTTAATAGTCTTTGAGAAGTAGTAACTTAAGTCGCTACTTATCAGGAATGAAATTTTTTTCAAAATAATGTGGCTTTTAACGGACCCCTTATACCACGATTTGGATAGTTCTATTTCAAAACTGCACCGATACCATGATACTTATTTGTAGAGGATGCACTTGCCACAAAAGATAAAAATTCCCAAAGGGTAAAAAAAGTATATTTTTTTGTGCAAAGTATGAAAGAGGGAGAAGGGAGAATCTCCGACCGCATATGCATATATATTTTCAATCAGCATGACGAAACGAATAAATATAGCCATGTTCCTCTGTCCGTCTGCCTGAATGAACGTCTGGATTTCGCAGAGGACTGAGCTCACATTTACAAAACCTGGGATGTAGATTCTCCTAATATCCAGACAAACCAGATCAAAATTAAACCTCCTCCAGTATGGCTATACTGTCCACATTTCGAATTAAAATTATAGAAACTTTCCACACGTAATCTAAATTGAATACAAATTATTATTAGCGAAACAATTTACGTCTACAAACTGCAGGAAGCGGTTCGCTGTCCTTCTTCTTTTTGATTCTGCGCCGGATGTTTGTTTGGGTATTACAGTGCATTTCATTGTCGGGCTTTCTCGACCGCATCATTCTCCCATGATTATCACATATTTTTTCATATCTTAATCAGTCCATAACTAGTTAACACATACAATTAGTTCCATATAAGAAACAAATTGCATTTATTTGCCGTATGCGTATATTTTAAATACATTTCCTATGCCATGCTAAATTGGATCACTTAGTACTGATATTATAACAGAGATGTCAACTTATTGGCTTCACCTGACGCTATGGATTTTCCTATTCTTTAAGATGTTCGTGTCAAGCAAAGTTGCGACGCCGATAAAGAGCATTAACCGTAATCGATTTGAATACATAGCTAAGCCATTTAATAACGTACTGAATACACACAGGTTGTTCCCCTACGGAAATATACACATGTCGATTTTGTTTTGAGCCCTCTTGTAAGCAGGTGCTATACGATAGTGAACCATGCCCCACAAAATGTGAAATGGTTTGCAACTGTTTGCCTGGTTATGTGCGTAAGAAGAAAGAATGCGTAAAAAAGGAAAAATGTTGCGTTGGTCACATATGCATTACCAAAAAGGAGGAGGATATGAAAACGAAAATTTCAGCTATAAATTTTATTCCGAAAAAGCCATGAGTATAAACTTTTTTTTAAACGAAATATAGCAGATTTTTCAAAACTCGAATGTTTGGTTCTTTTTTAAGTTCTTCCTTCCATATAAGTTATATATATATATATATATATATATATATATATATATATATATATATATATATATATATATATATATATATATATATATATATATATATATATATATATATATATATATATATATATATATATATATATATATATATATATATATAGCCTACCGATGGGAAAAAAAGTATTTTTTAAGACTTCTGTAGAAGTTGCAACAATTAAAAAAAAAAAAAAAAAAATTTCGTACTTTTCCAAAGCCCAATGCTATGTCACAGAGCTTGTAGATCTAGACGCTGGCACTACTAAAGATTTAACCGTGAGTCGAAGCAATGTAATTTGAGTAAATTTAATGTTATGGTGTGTAAAATATTTTGCAAAAAGTAAGGCACCCCTCTGCGCTCCAAGTTGCATGAAATTGGCATTTATTTGCTTTTATTTAATGCACATTTTTGAATAACTTTTCCTATACCTTCCCATATTTGATCACTTATTACTGATATTATAACAAAGATGTCAACTTATTGGCTTTACCTGTCGCTATGGATTTGCCTATTTTTTAAGATGTTCGTGTTAAGTAAAGTGGGAACGGCTGTAAAGAAACCTTTACGTAAACGATTTGAATACACAGCTAATCCATTTATTAACGTACTGAATACACACAGGTTGTGCTGCTGAAGAAACTGACGGATGTCGGCCTTGCTTTGAGCCCTCATGTTCCCAATTACTATACGATGGTGAACCATGCCCAACAAAATGTGAGCTGGCTTGTTTCTGTTTAAAAATTTATGTTCGTAAGGCGAGAAATTGTGTGCCTATAGAAAAATGTTGCGTTGGTAACATGTGCTTATCCAATAAGGAGCAAGTTGTTAAGGCGAAAGCTTTATCTTTAAATAAACCGTGATTATAAACTATTTTTATACCCTGTACCCGATGGGTAGAAAGTGTACTATTAGGTTTGTGCAAAGTATGTAACAGGCAGAAGGAAGCATCTCCGACCACATAAAGAATATATATTCTTGATCAGTATGACGAGAGAAATCGATCTAGATATGTCCGTCCGTCGGCGCACGTTAACCATACTTGGTATGCAGACGCTTCTAGTCCCTAGTCTATACGAGTTTATTTTATGTTTTTGATTTTCCCTCCTCTTTCCGCTCAAAAGCTACATAAACCAAAATTAAATTAATAAATATACAATAATCTACTTTTGTTTTGTATTACATCCAAATCGGTCAATTCTAAGTTATTAGCGAAACAATTTTACTCCAGTATTACGCCCACAAACTGCAGCATCAAGTTCGCTCTTCTTTTCAATTTTGCTTCTGTTAGAGGCGCATATAACTTACCCAAAATTTAAGCAATTCCGAGCAGTGGGTACTGTAGCGTTCTCTGTACTATATTAGTTTAGGACGAGTCGAGGCGATGCCCGTCCCTCTCTTTACGAACGCACGGATCTTAAAAAGAGCTAGAATTAGAGCTAGAATGACCAAACTTGGTATCCAGGTCCTCCTAAGATCGAGAAAGTTCAAAAGTACGCTACAAGTAATTTTCCATAACTCCCATAAACCAGTTAGTGCTTATTTGCTATCGTGTTAAGTTTAATCAAAATGTAGCCTCTGCCCAGATGGAAATGTATGCTATTAGAACTGTTTATAAACATGTGTATATCTCTGTGTATTTACCCAAAGGGTAAAAGGGTACACTAGTTTTGTACGAATGTATGTAACGCACAGAAGGAGGCGTGGCAGACCCCCCAAAAGTATATATATTATTGATTAGGGTGACAAGCCGAGTCGATAAAGCCATGGATTTCAGAAAGTATAAGAGCTAGAACTACCAAACTTGATATCCAGATTTTCCCGAGTCCGAGAAAAAACGAGTTTTTGTTTTGTTTTCTGATTCATCACCCCGCTCCCCCGCAATTAGTGATTTTTCATAACTCTGGTAATTCTTGGAATTATTAGCTAAAATTTGGTACCTTCGCCTATTTAGTGCTTAGTGACGTACGTATGTCAAGTTTCATCATGATAGGTCAATTATGAAGAAGTTATAGCGATAAATATAGTCTCTGCTCAAGCTCTGCCCGCAGCTGTTGTTGTTGTTGCTGCTTTGGTTCAACTTTGTGCTGCATAACATACACATATATAAATAAACATGAATACGTATGCATGTGTTTAATATTTTATATCATTTTTTAATTTTTTTTTTTAAATTTGTTTTTGTGGGGTGGGAACAGGGTATTTAAGAGTTGAGCCCGCTCAAGTCTAACATTCCTTTCTTGTTTTTATTAGGTGTGTATATATACCCTGATATAAGAGTTGGGCCTGCTCAGAACTAGCCTACCTAAAGATTATAATAGGAGCAAAAATAAATATAAATATAATATAAATTACAATCTTAGTAAAAGTTGCATACATTGAGTAGTGATACAAAATTCGGCTACTTCTTCCAATGCTTTGTCACAGAACTTGGAGACTTATGAAATACTTCTTTGATTATTTGTAATCAAACATTGATTTAGCTTGACTAAACTTGAAGTTATGGGCAGTAGAATATTTGGCAGTAATTCCAGATTACGCTTTTTTACACACATCTGCACTTTCCTTCTTTAGCAGCACTTTAGACTACACAAGATTTTGGTTTTGCTTCTAGGCCGGTTTTGAAAACGGAATAGAGCAAAAAAAAAAACAAATGATTGAATAAATCTGTGTCCCTTTTTACTGATGAGTGCCAGCTAAAAAAAAAAGAAGTAACGGTAACAGGAAAAAATCAATGAAACAAAGCAGCTAAGCCTCGGCAGGATACGTGTGGATTGTAAACTCAAACTCAAGATGTGCTGCAACACGCGCTCAAAGGGCGACGCGTCGGCACAAACAATAAGCCACGTACCACTGCGTACGATGGGCATAGAAGTGGTGCCCCGCAGATCTTATCGCCAGCTATCAATCCGAGTTGTTTTGCCACCTCCGTCTTCTTCTCATCTCCCTTTTAGACAGTCTGCATTGTTGTTGTTGTTGTCGTCGTCGTTGCCTTTGGTCTTAAGGTCCAGGTGCAGGCGTTTCGACAGCGCCAAACCAAAAACGTGTTAATAGATATTGCCATTGTCGCTTGGGATACGCTTATGGTCGATTGTATTGTTGTTTTTGTTGTATTTCTTCTGCTTGGCTGCTAATACTTTGGAAACAGGAAATCAAAGCGTGACAGAAATTTATAAATGCTTTTAAACACAAAATATATGCTGGTTATTTTTTTGTGCATTAATAAACAAGTTGCTGGGAGGTTTTGCTTTCGTCTCGGTTAATTGTTCGCATTGTTGGTAAGAACTTTTTCATTTTATTGAGCCCACCTAGTTGGGTGTTATCCCAAGCATACGAAATTATTACAAGATGTATAAACTCTTCTATGGAATCAGGCATGTTTCAATTTTATTGATTTTATTCGTGGGACTCTTTTAATTTTTATGCGTTACGTGATAAATAGCATCAATGCTTTAGTAGCTATGGATTCATTATTCTATTGCAGCACACAGCAATTAAATACAACGGAAAAATTTGGTTGCAGTTCAACATTAAATTTTATGATTTCTAACCATTTTCGTTCTCAGAATATGGCATCTAATGACCAATAAAATAATATATTTACCCTGCATAACTCGTATATAGAGACAGATTCATTGGAAATATAATCTTAATGTCGATCGAGATTTATACATTTTAAATAACAAATTCTAAAAATATTTAAATTATTATAAAATGTCAATAGCTTGATGGAAATAAAATCTGATTTCCGAGCTATTTAAGGCAGATACAGAAAAGTAGAATCGATATTTGAAACTTACTTGTATTTGCTATTGTTTTGTGATTACTTCTATGAGTTTTTCTTTCGAACTATCATGATGCCGATCTTTAACGAAAATTAGATCTAATTACTATAATAATAATAATATAATAATAATTTATTTGAGTGTATTTTGAAGTATTAGCAATGTTTTTAGCTATATTTCCCCCCTTAAAAAACTTCTTTTTGACACATTTTCTTTATTATTTATATTTTATTTATTATTTATATTTTATTTGTTATTTGTCAAAAAGGCGCAACTTTTTCCAATTAACAATTGTGTCTGGGTTTAAAGTTTTTTCTAATTTATTTTTTTTTTCACATAAAAAAATTAGCTATGCTGAAGTAAGAATTGCGTATTTTTTAAGACGTAAATATCCCTTCAGCAATAAAGCTAAAATCATTTATAAAAAAGCTTATAATCCGTTTTTAAAACCATTTAATAATAATTGTATATTTTTGTTAGTATGAAGATAGTACCAATTTATTGAATTTGAAAATATAAGTGATTTTTCCATTCGTAATTTGTTTTTTAATTTTATTTAAAAAAAATGTAATTTTATGGTGAATTTTCTTTTTTTTTTTTAGAAAATTGTATGGGAAATGAGTATCTTAAAGAATTTTACTCACTAATATTAGTAATGCTAACGACTCAAATAGAACTGTATTGAGCGGAGCAGGATTGGTGGGAGGATAATAATACGCGACAAAGTTTTGTGGATGAATGAACAACGTCGATAGCTCGACTGCTTTATTTATATATAAATTCTTATCCTAGTTCTTATGCTATCGCCTACATACTATCATCGATTCCTTATCTTCTACCATGTGTGCGTACTTTATCAGGTAGCTCATGTTAGCCAGCCGCAGCATGCTCATCCAGCGCGGTGGCGAGCCTGAGCTAATGATTTGTGTACTTACACATCCTTATCTATTAAGCTGGCGCCTGCCAGCTACGAAAATGTTGGTGTTATGTTCGGCATCTAAGGCCGAACTCATTATTATCTGTATAAGAGAGCATGTCTGTTTATCGAGGTTTTATCTATAACAATATGATAATGTACCATTCGTGGTCTAGACAGAGCAAATCTAGCTTATCAATTAATTTACATTTACTTAGGATCTCGTTAGAATTGAACATGCTCCCCACCTTGAAAGGACTCCCTTTCAACTAGTATTGTTTCTTAAGGTTAATTTTAATTATACACGATTACATATATTTTCTTAGTTTTTAGGATAAACGTGGTAAGGCAAATGTTACGGGTAGAAATTGGGTAGAAAGTTGACACATCTTTTTAAAGATGATAACGATCGCCACGATGAGACAAAATCCGACAATCCAGGAGGTGATGCTGATACCGTAAAGTGCCATTTGATGCGTATCGAGATGAATCGGGAAATCGAAGATTGTTTTGATCCTTGGGATATCGCGTACCTTATATGTTTTGATTTCACCCTCTACCTGCATATGGCTTATTTCAGGCAAATGGCTGGACAGATTTACTGTTGGTAGACGGAAGTTAACATCCATAGTAGTATCCTCGTATGCCCACAAGTTGGCTTCTTCAGTTTGTAGGAAGCATCCTGTATTAAGTTGAAGGATCCCTTGACCAAATATGGTGAGGCTTGTGATATTTTCCTTGCAATGCATTTCCGCTGTTATTTTATTTGGCAGTGAAAATATCCAGGAGTTAGCCTTGTGAAGTTGAGCCCAATAATTTCGCGGGTTCATCACGTTTACCTGGCAGGTCGGCGGTAGCGTTTTTGTTTTTTGTAAAAGTAATATGTCGCAATTTGTAGCAGCGTTAACGTTGTATATTGGGTGGATTTGCGGACATAATAGCAGCCTTTCCATCTTTTGGCAGTAATTCAGATTTCCTTCTGTTAGTCCATAGAAACTGGCTGAGTTGTCATCGACGAGTATTTGAGTAAATTCGGGCTGAATACTGACGAATTTTCCATCGTGTAATGTGGGATATGGATAGATTACATAAGCTCTCATTTTATTGTGATTTATTAATGGGATTCTTATGTTAAATAACAGTGAGGTACTTGTAGCCCTCGTCGTTATTTT